AACTTTTACAACTATTTTTACCTACAATTAAATATACTGAACACTAAACAAAAACTATTTCAACAAGTATTTACGTAAACAGCGTTAAAAAACTCTAACATTCAATTGCCTCCAACTCGCTAGCCCCGACTGCGTTATTTCGCCCGGGTGCGTCGCGATTTTAGGTAATTATTTCACGCAGGTAGCAAGAGTGATAGAGGTCTGGTTAAAGGTCGCTCTTAAAACACCGGAAGAGATCGAAGAATCAATCGAGTACGTAACATAACCAATATGATCTAGGTATAATATTACCGTGTCTAGGTTGTATGTTGGTTAAACACTCCAGAAATTAAAAAAGCAATTCCTCACATGATAGTTAATAGGAATATTCAACGTTTTCAAAATTTATTTAAAAAGATATTTGTTACGTTTTTTGATATTTGAATTTAAAACTTGGCAAGGTTTTAATAGAGTAATAAAGGAATAGAATAAAGAAAAATCATGTTTGTCAAATTTTGTATCCATAAAATATCAAACGTTGGTCTAATGAACTAGTTATTAGCTCGATGGCGGAACGTCCCAACGTAAAAGGAAAACCAGATTACTGGTCATTATTTCTCATCGGCCTTGAGCAAGCCTTACTAAAATGTTTCTAATTATAACCGGAAAAGACGGTTCAACGTGCCTTTCGAACCACAAACACACACAAATGTCATGGCACAATTCCAAGTGCGACCGCAAAGAACGTTGCAAAACATCCACAATAGTTAAGACATCCTAAAACGTATATATTTTTGTTCTTAATGTATAACAAGTGGTTGAATAAAAAAAATTGTACACCTTCAGTATAAATAAAATGAGAACATCATCAATGTAGTCGAATAAAAACTTAGGCATTATTAAGGATAATTTAAAAACTACTGGTACGTTATTTATTTACTATTATACTGGTACTATTATTTATTCTGTGCTACTGGTCAGATCTTGATCAAATTAATATGGTGGGACCACATGGGAGGCATCAGCTTTCAAATAAAAAAATCATCAAAAACGATTTACATAGAAAAAAGTTCTGAAGTAAGACGAAAAAAAAAAACAGTCGAAGTGAGTACCTCCGCCTTTTTTTGAAGTCGGTTAAAAATAAATCTGGCCTCTTTAACACGTTTTCATTAACTAAATTTCGTGTATTCAGGTAGAATTACGTAATTGATTTTAAACTAACTTCGCCAATGAGCTAGAGACGAAATTTTGAACATAACTCAGAATCGGATGACAACGCAAGAATGTGAAAGAGGAACAACAAAACTTGGTATAATAAAATGCTTTTAAACTCGATAATTATTTCTTATTTATATCGATTAAAATGATTGCGACGATTAAGGACAGTTATACAATTCTCAACTTTATTATTTATTCTGTGCTACTGGTCAGATCTTGATCAAATTAATATGGTGGGACCACATGGGAGGCATCAGCTTTCAAATAAAAAAATCATCAAAAACGATTTACATAGAAAAAAGTTCTGAAGTAAGAAGAAAAAAAAATACAGTCGAAGTGAGTACCTGCGCCTTTTTTGAAGTCGGTTAAAAATAAATCTGGCCTCTTTAACACGTTTTCATTAACTAAATTTCGTGTATTCAGGTAGAATTACGTAATTGATTTTAAACTAACTTCGCCAATGAGCTAGAGACGAAATTTTGAACATAACTCAGAATCGGATGACAACGCAAGAATGTGAAAGAGGAACAACAAAACTTGGTATAATAAAATGCTTTTGACCTCGATAATTATTTCTTATTTATATCGATTAAAATGATTGCGACGATTAAGGACAGTTATACAATTCTCAACTTTTCCACCTACTTTTTCCCTTAGTAGAATACAAATCAGATTTTTTTTTGATTATATTGAACTAAACTCATTAAAAGGATGAAAGAAATCTAATAGAGAAGGTATATAGCTGCCTGAAAAAGAAAATTGCGGTGCTGGTAAATGTAGGGTTTTTTCTTTCTCGCATAACTTCCTTGTGGAATCGACTGCCACCAGAGATTTTTCCGGATCGATACGACTTAGGGACCTTCCAGAAAAGAGCCTACTTTTTTTTAAAAAAGCCGGCAATTCCCCTGGTGTTGCAGATGTTCACGGGCGGCTGTAATCACTTACCATCGGGTGAGCCGTATGCTCCCTCTCCTATAAAAAAAAAAGTCTGTGACGGAAATAACAAACGTTTCATCCTCTTCGCTTAGATTGTAGATCATTGCACAGTTATGTAAGTGGTAAGGCCATTTGGCTACTGGTTGCAGCACAACTGGTCGGTTTGACCGACGAAGGACAACGCTCTCAAAAAATAACAGCGTAAAATACTACCATAATGATTTTGTGTTTGGTTTGGTGAGTGGCGTGATTAAGTACCCTTTTTATTGGGCATTCCAATTCAATTTTCAGGGTCAAAATGAATCTGTATTTGCCTTATGTGTGTCTATGGGCCTCCTATATAACATAAAGTGAACTAAGTGTCCGTTTGTCACCCCAATTTACATAAATTAAAGGACCTGAAAACGACTGAAAACGTAAGAAAGAAGACTGCAAGTAGTTTTTAAAATGGCATCCTTTCTAAGAAATTATTTAGTACTATCGAATCGCCCTGGCTTCGCATGGGTATGATCTATTAATGTGGATTTATTATGATTATTAAAGACCATTTCATTTATCAATTTTAAATTTTATGAAAAAAAAATCTTCCCAAGTTTTTCGAATAAAACATGGATCACTCCTGGCCTTGCTGTCGCTTTTGTTCGTTATGTTTAAATTCAATAAGTTCAGCCGTCTCTTTCAGCTCAATATAAGCCATTTGTTTGTATGTTATCAGACAGACACTTCAATTTTATTTATGTGTATGGATTTAGAAAAATTTCCAACATTTTTTATTTTAATAATCTACATCTAATACATATATTTATACCTACTGTAAGACATGAATAACCTTACAGTATAAATTAGCAAGCTATGCTTAAAATAATACCCTTAGTGAATAATTGTCTTGAAATTTTTTGTTTTTCTATCTGACTAAATTTTATCCGAATAACGGACATTTTTTTGAGATATTATATAATTGATAAAATTAATGTATCTTTGATGATTATCTTACATCTAAATAACGTTACATTAATTCTTGTTTCTTGTTTTCTTGTGTCTTTAAAAAAAAAACGTTACAACTACACTAGGATTTTCTCCTTCAGTTTACAAATATAAATGGCACAAGGACAAACATCCAGACCCGGAACAATTATTTGTAGGCCATACAAATACTTGTTCCGCAGCCACTCATTGCTAAACCACTGCGCCACGGAGTCGTCAAAGAATTGATCCTACTCAGGCGAAGCCTGGGTCGCTAATATATATATATTATATATATATATATATATATATATATATATATATATATATAGTACCTTTGTGTTATGAAAAGAAAATAGGGCTTCTTCCTACTGCACGTTGTGCCGACCACTGACACGAGACAAGCAAAAGTGAAACCTAGCCGACCGGCGCAACAAAGGCTGTGTTGCAAGCACCGACGCGGCGGCGGCGTGGTGCCGCAACACATTGCAACACTTGAACTTACAGCCGCCCAAACGAACGATGGACTCTATGTGGATTCATTGTTAATATTTTATATAATAACTATGTCCGAGTATTTTATTTCTGACCAATAAAGAATGTACCGTCTCACATAACTTTTTGATGTCTTTGTAACTGAATCAAATTAAACTGTCGTATCTTCTCCGCTTATCTATTCCAAACCTGCCTAAATATCATACGTACAAGTATTATATAAACATTAAATACCCCAGCAAGGGTGTATGAAATTACTATAATTTTACGTGGTAGAGCCTCGCTGCAACTATATTATAATTGTAGCACGAATGGGTCGGCTCGACCGAGGCAGGACCACGCTCTTACAGAATACCAACGTAAAACAGCAGCTTAATGCTGCTGTTTCGTATGGTGAGTTTAGAGAAACGGAGGCCATTTTTAACTGGAAACGAAGCATTTCATCTTAGTCCTCATGGGTGACAACGCATAATTGCATTTCGATTCGTAGTCGAGGATAAATGTAGCCTATGGGCCACAGAATCCACTTACCATCAGTTAAACTATGTGCTCGTTTGTCACCCTATCCTATAAATAAACACTCTATGGTTCTTTTATCTAGTACTACTATTACGTTCTTTTCATAGCACATTAGTGTGTAATCCATCCAACGGAAATGGTGAAATGGGGATACATGACAATTTTTTTTCAAAATGCCAACCTCATCTGCGCTGCGCCGCATTCTACCAATAGACAAAGTTGGAAAAGCAAGGTTATCGAGTGGCAGAGTGACGACCTGGTATGGCAGGAAATCGATAGATGCAGGTGACTCAGGACCGTGCTTTGTGGCATTCCTTGGGTGAGCCATATGTTCGGCAGTGGACTTGTGAAGGGCTGTAATGGTGATGTTGATGATGATGATGATGCCGTTCCCTGAGTGTCGTAAAAAGCAACAGAGAGACTCAAATAGGAAATGGGCAGCAGCATCTCGCTGACAATTCAAAATAATTAAAATTTGCGGTTGCCATCCTGGTGCCAAGCGTGGCAACTATGGCAATAAAGGCAATAAATTGGGGAAGCTTATGTTCAGTAGAAGACGTTTATAGGCTGTGATGGATGTATAAATAGTATATTCTACGTAAGTTACGTAACATTAACTTATCTAAATATACTAAAAGTCCCGTGTCACGATATTTGTTTACGCGATTTTCCGACGCAGTATAACCTATTTTAATGAAATTTTGTAAAGGCGTATTGCTTGCTCCAACTTGAGAGATAGGATACAAGTAACCCTCAATATTTTTCATTGCAAATTTAAGGATCTTTATAGGACAAAAACTCGTCGGAAAGGGCAGATCGTCTGCCTAGCCAGCTCCTTTAATATAAAAGAATATAGTTTTCATTCTCACGTCAGTATGTTTTGTCGATAGGTATACCTGCACAGTTGGCGCTCCGCGAGCGAGCTGAACATGTTGGTGGGTGCGAAGGTCGGCGGCGCGACGCCGCTCGTCATCGCCTGCAGGAACGGACACTACGACGTCGCCGAGTACCTCATCGAGAGGTGTAAGGCCGATATCGAACAGCCCGGTTCAGGTGAGCGTTTGATCTGCTTTTATTAATTAATTAGTTATAATTATAATTGATCCAGATGAAAATAAGATCAATGGAGTGAATAACTTGCAAAAACTCTAAAGAGCTGGATTTATCTAGTCTTTACAAGGTCCAAATGCTCTGGAGAAGATAACAAGGTTACAATATTAAACTTTTAAGTACGTAGGTAAATTGTCTAGACCAAACACATAATTCTAGTTTTTATTTCACATCGATCGGTGCACTATTACAGAAGTTATAAGCGTGGAAAATTTACGTACATTTTTAAAATCTCGCCCGTGCCCGCGAGTAACGCGTGACGTCATAGATTCCATGCGGCCGTGCCGCCATACCGTTCCAGCCCGCCGATCATACGTTTGTAGTCATTGAGTTTAATATATAAATCAATGTTTGTAGTAATATTTCGCGGGTGAGTTGTTTGCCCTCGTGCGCTCTGGTGTTTTTAAGTATTTAATGATGGAAGAAAGGTTTCAAAAAGTCAATCTGACAACCTTCCAATAGTCCGTGACATGATGGTGGCGGAATATTTTCTAAGAAACAAAGATTTTGTCGCGGCTGAAATACGCATAAGAATAAGATAATATTTTATAACCTAGGTACCCATTATTACATTAATACTTCTGGGTTTCATTTGCTAATGATAAGAATAAGTATAACAAATATACGTAAACATTCCTTACCTACCTACTTACTATCTGCCTCTAACTAGTTTTATTTTCTTATTCTTCATAAGTGCACCCTGACCTTTTTGTGGTTTTTATGGTTAAAAAAATTCCTGTTGTATATAAAGAAATTTACTACAAATATACCTTCGGTGTATAAAAATATGATTTTATCTAAAAATCAGATGTTTTCAATATTAATAGAAAAAGGGTCGCATTATTATTATGATTAAACGCGTAGTTATATATTCTTCGGGCAAGGGATCAATGTCAATATTATCATCTAGAGTAGTAACTGGATCGACAACATATCTATGCTCATTTTCTTGTGAAGTAGTGGCAATCGCATGTGCAACTGTTTCTGACCTAGATTTGGCATTTAGTTTTGATAGTAAACATCTTTGTGGTTTTTCTGTATACCGATTTTGACAAGCAAACTTGTGAGGCAAAACATCTTTTTTAAAATTTGAGGGGACCACCAACTAGTTTGTACTTCACGTAGTTTTCCATATCGTTTTCGACCTAGAACAAAATACAAACTTATTTAAAATCTATAGAAAAATAAGGAACCTCGTAATTTGTATTCCATCAATATTTAAAATATGTACCAACACACAAGTGCTCCACTTCATAATCAAACTTCTTCCATCATTTGCGGCCCGCAAAGTATGCAGGTTGAACAGCTCTGCGATGTGTTTAGTTTTTGCTCAAAATATAAAAACGTTTGTTAACATATTCCATATTTTAATCTTTATATGCATTATAAACATTTTAAAATTTGCTGCAAACATAGGTAGGTATCTAAACTTACGAACTCACGACAGGTCATTGACTTATCTACATTACATAGGTAAGTACTTTACCCAAGTTTGGATGTTTATTTACACTGAAGTAGTTTTATTTAAATATGTAGGTATTAGGTATTGTTTCTTCTTGAAATTATAATGATCATTAAGCGTAGAAAGGTTCAATGAATGAAAAAAGTTACTTAAACACTGCGACTCGAGTAGGTACCAACATGCCTAATAGAAAGCATTTACTACCAATAACCAAGAGCTATCATGTGAAGATTATTATTATTTGAATACTTACATCGAAATGATCACAAACAACAATATGCTACCGTGTTTGGTCCTAAAGGATGTGCTCTTCTCATAGCATTTGTCCATTTATTTCTGAGGGTAGGGTTTCTAGGCACATTAAAAAACAAATCTTCAGGTGTTTTTGTGGTCGTATTTTTACATTGAGACACAGCACAATATTTAAAGCCCCATTTACATTCAGCCACTGCCACTGCTCCTCGCGCTGCCGGCAATACTTCCCTAAATACTGCCGTAGCAGGATCGCGGGAAGTGTGTATTCACACTCTGCCCTACCACTCACATCGCTTTCGGCTTTCGACTATGGCGGACGTCGAAATAATTACAGCGTCCGCGCTGTGTCTTCTTGCAATACAAAATTATGTTAATAATTTAAAAAGATATCAAGTTCAAAAGAAGATAGATAGATAGATAGAAAATTTATTTGCTTAAAAACATGGTACATAAGATGATCAATGACGTGGAACGACATGTTTTGCCATAATTGGCATGGAAAAATGATATGAAATACAGCTAATTACACAAACCCGATGTTGCTTAAAAGTTAGGTACACACATTCTTTTTGAATTCAAATATTATGTACAATTAAATACTTATACAGATTCACTCTATTTGAATTCTTATACAGTAAATTGTTCATAAATTATTAATTGAATTATTATATTATTGTTACATAAATAATATTAAATATTATATGAGATTAGTTAAGCTATTATTATTTTATTAATTACACTTCAGTATAAACTAATTCGTAATTTTAATTACAATAAAATTATAATTTAAAAATCTCAGGCTATTATGCAAATATTACCTTTTAACTTATTTTACATTTTAATTAATAAATAATCAATATGAGTTACTAATCGTTTTTAGAAATAAAATGTCAATGTTCATTAATTCCTTAAACTAAATTTTATATTAATATAATAAATATTGACGAATTTATAATTAATTATGTACATAGGTACTATGTTAACTCAAAAAGAAAATTCGTATTCGTAGAAGATGATGAATTGTGGTTTTTATCGTTGAAATCCCATATAGTTTTTTCTGATTCCAGCAGTTCTAAAAACTTTATTGTATTTTCATTAATCCACTCGAAAGGCATTTTGGTAGATCGTATTTATTTAATAACAGGACGGCACGCACGTCCGTTCATCCAGGCGCACGGCGCGAAGTGAGCGATGGAGCTGAATGTGAACACACACTGCCGCTCGCGCTGCCCGTCCTTTGACTTCCGCACGAAAAACCGACATTTCGGGCAGTGTCAGCGGCAGCGGCAATGTCAGCGCGAGTAGCCTGTTTACATACTGCCCTGCTCACTGCCCTGCTCACTTCCCTGCCCAAACGGGCTGAATGTAAATGGGGCATTATAGATGGTGTCATGTTCTATAATGTTTCTTGTTAAAAATATATAGCAAGTAAATCCGCGCGCGACGGGCACATTCGAGTAAATGTTTTGATTTTCTAAGTGCGCGTCGGGTCTCTCGCACGAAGATGGAAATCGTGACGTCATCAACGATGTCGCTCTCGGCCCGCGGCTTAGACCGAAAATGTTAACTTTGCGCCTTTATATCTCGGTCAGTTTTGAAGATATAAAAAAATTAAAAACACGGTTATTCTCGTAATTTTTTGTAGATTTTTTTGGCACATCTGGACGTTCGAATAATCTAACGAATCGATGATAATACAATATTTTTTCATTACTACTTTACCACGTCACACGTGGTAGAGCCATGCTGCAGCTATATTATTATCGCGTTAGCACAAATAAGTCGACTCGAAAGGGTAGGACCACACTTTCACAGATACTAGCATTAAATAGTAGCTTACTGCTGCTGTGTTTCGTGTGGTGATTGTAGAAAACCGGAGACCCTTTTTACTGAAAACGAGGCATTTAATCTTAGTCCTCAGGATCTGCATTTTGATTCTTAATCGACGATAGATAGAGATATCTATAGGCCACAACATCCACTTACAATCATGTGGACTTTGTGCACGTTTATCACCCTAAAAAAATAAAAATAAAAAATTATTATAGATTCTATTACGCTGCTACAGAGGCTGCACTAAAAGTATCGGGAATGGAATATTTCCATTGTTCCTGTCATATTAAAATCTTTTTAATTGAAAACTCCTTAGTTTTGAAAATCGAATACCATTTATTTATTTAAAAAAAGATTGTCGGTCTTGTCACAAGGTTTTGTCAAACTTGTTTATTCGTTGAGAAAATGGAATTGACTCGAGAAAATTCAAGAGCGATGATGATTTATTATGACTTTCGAAGTGGTTTAACACAAAAACAGTGTGTTGACCGGATGATTTCTGCATTTGGTCATGAAGCCCCATCCAAAACCACAATTTATCGCTGGTTTGCTGAATTTCAACGTGGACGTGTCAAGCTCAGTGATGATCCCCGTCAAGGTCGAACGCCAACAACTGCAGTCACCCAAGAAAACGTTGATGCTGTGCGTAAGCTAATTGAGGAAGATCGACATGTGACATACCGCGAAATTCAGGCAACTTTAGAAATTGGCATGAGTCAAATACAAATAATCTTGCATGAACAATTAGGTGTAAAAAAGTTGTTTTCCCGATGGATACCGCATTCGCTCTGTGAAGAGCAATAAGCGGCTCGCGTTACTTGGTGCGTCAGAACTCTCGAAAGATTCCACGCAGGATCCTCAAATGCTGTATACAACATCGTATCAGGTGACAAATCCTGGATATACGCGTACGAACCCGAAACAAAAAACCAGTCACGAGTTTGGGTGTTCGAAAATAAGTTAAAGCCAACGAAAATTGTTCGTTCACGGAGTGTTGCAAAAAACAATGGTGGCCACGTTTGTCTCCAAAACCGGCCATGTTACGTCTATTCCTCTTGAGTGACAAAGAACGGTTAATGCAGAATGGTATGCTAGCATTTGTTTGCCACAGGTCGTTTCTGAACTCCGTAAAGAGAACTACAACCGCCGCATTATCCTCCATCATGACAATGCGAGTTCTCACACCGCACACAGAACAAAAGAGTTTTTAGAGCAAGAAAACATAGAATTACTAGACCATCCGCCGTACAGCCCCGACCTAAGCCCTAATGATTTCTATACTTTCCCTAAAATAAAGAATAAATTGCGTGGACAGAGATTTTCATCACCTGAAGAAGCTGACGCTGACTTGGACGCCTACAAAATGGCCATTTTGGAGACCCCAACTTCCGAA